CCAATAAAAATCTTAAAAAAAAAAATGGTAGTGCTTATGCTATTTGTTCATCAGACCCATGAGGGCAGGACTCTGCCTTATTCGTCACCATATCCCCAGTGCCCAGAACAGCACCTGGCACACAGTAGGGCTGGAGAAGGTGTTTGTTGAGTGAATGAATGAAGGGACCCACCCAGGCCCAGCCAGTCCCCTTCCCCAGATTACTGGTGTCAGCACAGAGACTCCACTTTCCATCCTCGTCCATGTTCTCGGTGGTTGGGCACCACAGCTTGTTGCTTTCGTCCTCAATGCATTCAGCGATCACATTATTTCTGTAGATGGAGGGGAAGATGCAAGGCTTGCTGAAAGAATTTCCCCCGTACTCTGAAAATGATCATGGAAAGATTACCGGTCAGAGGAGATGAGAAGGGCTTCCATTTTTCACACACCAGCTATGGGCCGTGCTTTGCGTCATGAAAGGCAATATCATATTGAACACGCCCAAACAACTTCTTGGTGATGTTATTATTTCCGCTTTACAGATAAGTGAGAACCAAAACCATTGACACCCACACAGTTTTCTGTCTACGTTAACAAGGCTTTACTCTTCCATCAACATGACTCTACTAAGCTAGGAAATTAATGCCCAGGAAGATAAAAGTTGCAAATAACTTGATTGTTCATCTCAGGAAGTTCCTGAAAAATCATTTAAATAAATGTCAGACCTTTCAACTTTTCAATCGATTGCATCAAAAGACTGTTTACTCTTCAAGACTCTGAATCCTTCTCAGAAATTTCACCTTACCATGAGAACCAACTCTAACCCATTATACTATGATCTCTACCCATTCCTAATCATGTCTCCATGTTGAAAGACCCCAAGCCCTCATTAATATCCCCAATTTCCTCTCCCTGCCCCCAAGACACTATCAAGACACTGTCAAGGTGGTTATCTCCTTTACTCTGTTAAGCAATAAACTCAGCATTTTCTAACTAATAGGCTACTTTGATGGTGTTCTAGGAGGAGCCTAAGAATTTGACTGAAGGGTTGGCGTGTAGAGACAGTACCATCTAGCTATTAAGAGCACAATTTCTGAAGCTTAGACTCTTGGGGATCAAATCACAGCTCTTTCACATAGCAACTGAACTCTATGAGCCTCAGTTTTCCTATCTGTAAAATGGGACTACTGGTCAGTCGTTTTATTTTTACCTTTTTTGTTGTGACTGGTCAGTTTTTTGTTTTTACCTTTTTTATTGTGACTACTGGTCAGTTTACCTTTTTTGTTGGGGCAGATGAATGAGCAATTGCATGCGAAGCACTTAGAACAATGCCTGGCACATAGCAAATGCTTAATAAAAGTTTACTTATTATGATCATTATTTTTGTTATTTAATGTGTTTAAGATCACACAGCTAGTAAATGGTATCAGCAGAATTCTAACTCAAGTCAAACTCCAAAGCCCATTTTTTGACCACTGGCTCAGATGATAGGGAAGGTGGAAAACATATTTCTTAGGCATGTGGTATGTTCAAAAAACCACAACAGGGGGCAGCTGGGTGACTCAGTTGGTTAGAGTGCAAGCTCTGAGCAACAAGGTTGCTGGTTCGATTCCCACATGGGCCAGTGAGCTGCGCCCTCCACAACTAGATTGAAGGACAGCAACTTGACTTGGAGCAGATAAGTCCTGGGAAAAATACACTGTTCCCCAATAAAGTTAAAAAAAAACAACAACCCACAACAGATCGTTTATGAAAATGAACTCTTCTCATCTTTACAAAAACCTTTGAAGCCAGCCTTAGAGTCCTCATTTTTCAGGTAACGTAAGTGACCAAGTATGCTTGCTTCGGCAGGACATAACTTTCCCAACGTGGTGGAGGAGGCCAGAGCTAAAGGGTACCTTCTCTTCCAGTACCTTTTCTTGGGCATCTGTTTAGTGATTTAAGCAAATTCTAATCTGTCACTCCGTCAGAATTGGGTCTGAGGAGCTTGGATTGCATAAAAGATAATAGAAGTTTAGATATATTCGAGCTAAGTTACAATAAGATTTGAAGTGGATTTAGAACTATGCACAGTGTTGATGTTACCATAAAATTGATATCTTTATCTATTTGGTTTAAGGTTTTAAAATGCCTATGGTTACGGGTGTGTGGATAGAATTTAGTCATGAGTGGAGATGGAGAAAGAGTTGGACTTGAATGAAAATTTAGGTCAAGAGATAGGACAGAGTTCTGGTGAGATTTAAGGATAAGGTTGGTTTAGAGTTAAGGATGCAAGTGATGGCTAGGGCTAGGCTAAAATTAAGGCTTTATATGGGATTAGGAGTATTTGAGTGCTAAGGGAAGAACATAATTAGGATTTTATACGGGAATCAGTGTGCTTATGAATAGGTGCCTCGCACACATTTCCATTTCTATGGAGGGAACAATGCTTAGTAAGAAAGCATGGGCTTTGGAGCCATGTGGACTTGAATTCAAATCCTAACTCTGACATCACCTACGAGTGTGACCTTGGGCAAAACTTAATTTTACTGGGACCATTTATTGAATGGGGGAAAAATAAATTTTCATAGAGCTTCCATGGAGAGATTCAATGGGATATTGTATATAGAGCTCCTGCATTGCAATCTAATACAGAGAGGGCACTGGGATGAATGGAGGTCATTATTAAGAGTAGGTATAGAATTATGATAAGATGTTAAGCTGCATCAAAATGCAAGTATGGCATCAGGTTAATCTGGTTACTGTCATTCTAGAAACAGAAATACTTGAAAACCAGTATGAGGGTTACTGCCCATGGTTTTGGGTCTCAGGACAACGGGCTTTTCATGCCCACTCTAGGGACTCAGGAGAACGTGGCCTCAAGCCATTCCTAGCTCTTGTGGTTGTCACAGTGTGTGCTCTCTGAGAAGACCCTTGGTTCCTAGAAGTATTTCTCCTACTGCTCTGCTCTCCACTGGGCCACCACCCCCTCACGAGGATCACTGCTGTCCACCCTCCTCTCCACCAAACACCCCATCCTTGTTCCAAGGCCTTACCATTCACCTCACAGTATTTCCACTGCCGCTTCTCATCAAAGCTGGAGGTGACTGAGCACCACAGCTTTCCAAAGAAGCTGCCCTCTGTGATGCAGCTGTTATAGGATTTTGTTCGATAGATGAAGGGGAAGACACATCGTGGGTAATCTGTATGGAAAGCAGTCCATGAGCGGCTTGACTCAAGTCATTCACAAGACAGTCAATCAAGCATCAACCAATCAACCAACCACTAACTTACAGGACAAGCATCAGGTTTCATAAGTACATTTTATACATTCATTTCATTAAGCATTAAGCAAAGCAAGCCTACTCCAACAGAGTTCCCAATCTCAACCCATGGCGGCCCCACCTGTTCAACAAACATAACATCCTTCACATATATAGTGTCTTAAAAACGAATCTGTTATAGCCCTGTAGGAATCAAGTCAAGACAAAGGCTTTTGATGGTTTATGACCAACAGATAAAGTCAGGATCTTGATATTTTAAAAAATGCTGAGGGCTGGCCGAGTGGCGCGATGGTTAAGAA